ATTGGGCTGCCCATTGAGTTGTTCTTTCACTAACCCAGCCTTTACCAAATCAACCCACCAGGGTCCTTGAGACCTTCAAGGGGGCCGTTGTACTTCTCCTTTCACTAGTAGCCTGTACTTCCCTCCGTGGCCTTATTGTTTCAACCTCTCCCAGATCTGCTAAAGTACAAGTAGCCTCACTTATGGGTTGCCCCAGGTGGATGGCAAGAGTAGTCACTAGGGACCCAAAGAGAGATATGGGAGCTTATGCAGCACCAGATTTCTGATTCCTACAGTGAACACCTCCTCATCGGGTCCCTAGGGGTCCATAGTATACATATTTTTCATATCCAATTCCCACAGTACCTGTTGGAGCTCTGTATATGTTTTCCAACTACTGGGAAAATATTGTAAATCACCCTGATTAGGCCAAACTACCCTGATGGCAGCTGTCAGCCATTCCAGGAGTGTCTGATTCCCTGAGGCGTGACGGGTATTTTGCAACCAATGGCAGAGGGAAGGGTGAGTCATCACGGAAGCCAGTCTACTCATCTCAGTACCTGACATAACAATGTTTCCCATCCCCATAACCCAGAAATATAGAAATCATGTAGGCAGAGATTCCAATAGTTTCTGCCTATACCGGATGCTCATGTCCACCAGCTCACCCTAGGTATAGGGGGGGACCATGGAGTGCTGCACAACCTGGGGAGGTTGCTGCTCCTCCCCTTGAGGAGCCCGCAGTTGTTTCATTTTTATTTTCTTAATTACAGCTGATGGGTCTTTAAAACAGGAGAAGATGGCACCTCTGGCATTGGCCTTGGTAGGAGATCCACCAATGGTCCTGCCTTCTCCTCTTCTCCCTCGGGATCCTCCCCCAACTGCTCCTCTTCCACCTTTTCTGGGGCTGAAGGCTCTACTCTTTCCTCCCCCTCCCCAACCGCCTCCTGAAAGGCTGCGTTTCCTGCTGCCTTCCCCCTTGCCACTAAGGAGTCGTCTAGGAGCATGACCTGTATTTTCAGGGACTGTCTCTCTTCTTTAATGGCATCCCACAGGTTATCGGCCAGCTCCTCCAGGCGATGCTGAAGTGTCTTTCTCCCGCCTAAGTCCCTTTTTCTCCTGTGTAACATTTTCCACTATCTTGATAAAAAGAGAACCTACAATGCCATTTTCTACATGACCCCCTAAGGTCTCCAAGCAGTCTTCCAACTCATGGAGGCTTAATTCTGCAGCTTTTGGGGTTTCCACTCTTCCCCAGCTTTGGGGAAGGCCCCACCCCTCTAAGAGGTACTTTACCCTAGACCAATTCCCCACTAGGTGTTTCCAAATTGGAAGCCCCAACAGCTAGGGGGATAATAACAGGTGAAGCTGCACTCTTTGCCGCTGCATCCACTGAGGCCTTCCTGCCATCCACAGGGGGTCTTCTGGGCATTTTCCCACCATTTCTAGGGGAAACCTTCCCAAAGGTCGCACCCATTATGACAGATTTCGGGCTCAGAGGAACCCTGCCCACTGCCGCCAGATTTAAGTACGGGGAGATGAAATCCCAGGCCAAAATACCTCTACAAACTGATATCAGTCAAAGGGAGAAATAAAGTTTAAAACCCATTTATTGTTTACAAACTGCAGTCCAGCACTGTCTCTCTCCCCTGCTCCTGAAGAAGCAAGCTAGCAAGCAAGCCCCTCCCCTTAACCTCTCAGGTTCAGACACGCCCTCAGTTGCCCAGATAATTACCCACTGACATGGAGATGAACTTCTCTCCACCCCTGAGTATATGCAAATGCACCAAAGCCACGTGAGATATTCTGGAAATAGTACAATTTTACCCACACTAGGGAAGATTTCTGTAAGTGTAAGATGTTAGCTCATGAGGACCTAAGGAAAGCTGGATGGCTGATTTTTGCTAATTAACAAGATGTTAAAGAGTGCATGACTGTAGTGGAACGCTCCTAGGCTTTGAAACTAATTTCTATTAAAGATCCCCAGTGACATATTCAGGCACTGTGCTCTTACTGGTGAGGGATTATGATGAGGACTTGAACAGATGATGTCACCATTCAAAATTAGAGGATCTCTGCTGACCTCTTCTCGTAGACTTTGTATTAACAAAGTGCTGGACTTTACCGGAAAGCTGCAAAACTTATTGGTTTGGGTATATTTACAGTAAACTGATTAAAACTTTTTCTATAAGGAGAAAAATTAAGACCATTTATTTTTTTAAAAAAATGAAGTCTTGCCTTCCAATCTGCTTTCTCACTGGTTGCTTTCAAAGCAAGGTCTTAAAGAAATATTGACATTTTTCTCATGACAAATCCTCTCAGGACATTGTGTAAATTGTGGTAAGTGCAAAGGGAGAGGAAAACATTTTTAGCTTTATTGTCAGTATAACCCTGCCTACTTGAATGTTCTCTTCTTGTTTCATTAACTCAGGATGCAAATCAGCTTAAATATTCAGTTTCCAATATTTTAAAATGTAATGTTACTTATGAAAAGTATTTTGCATAAAGTTGTGTATGTGTTGTATATATACCTCAAGTTCATGTTAATGGCTTTGACCATTATGTTCTAAAGAAAAGCAAATAACACAAGAATATGCTCAGATATAACTGTAATGAGATGAGTACTGCCAGTGGTGTTAAGTGCCATTTTGTGCTATGCCCTAATGTTCTCTGTATTTTATTAACCAGTCCCCTAAAACCACTGAGCTGCTGTTTATTAAAAAAAAATGTAAGTAAAATGGAAAGGCTTGATATTATGTCCCTGTTTTTTTTTGTTGTTGATCAAATGACAGACATGGAAACATGTAACCCAACTGAGTAGGATACGTAACAAATTCCTGCCTTAATATTACTAATGGGCAGAACTGCACATTCAACAATCATCAGGTTCCCTTTATTGGACCTGTGTCATCTAAGTTACTGACTAAATTGTTAATCCATTAATGAGTAAATCATTAGTTATGATTAAAATTATCAACAGATTTTTGTTAGCATTAAAGGAAAACTGCTTGTGAAATGTGTCTATCCAGAGAAATGTCACACTATAAATATTATTAAATAATTAAGCTAGAGTCTTCCTAGGTATCAAATTATATGTCAAGCATTTAAAGTGAATTTGAATTTGGAGATGAGAAGTAAAGCATATTTTCCAAGCAACAAAGATTTCTTCCAATGTTTATTGCAGCAGTATTTACAATAGCCAAGAAATGGAAGCAACCTAAGTGTCCATCAGTAGATGATTGGATAAAGAAGATGTGGTACATATACACAATGGAATATTATTCAGCCATAAGAAGAAAACAAATCCTACCATTTGCAACAACATGGATGGAGCTAGAGGGTATAACCTCTGAGAAATAAGCCAGGTGGGAAAGACAAGTACCAAATGATTTCACTCATCCGTGGGGCATAAGAACAAAGAAAAAACTGAAGGAACAAAACAGCAGCAGACTCACACAACCCAAGAATGGACTAACAGTCACCAAAGGGAAAGGGACCGGGGAAGGTGTGGGGGAAGGGAGGGGGAAGGGGAATAAGGGGCGTTACGATTAGCACACATGATGTAGAGGAGGGCACGGGGAAGGAAGTATAACACAGAGAAGACCAGTAGTGACTCTATAGCATTTTGCTATGCTGATGGACAGTGACTGTAATGGGGTATGTGGTGGGGACTTGATAACAGGGGGAATCTAGTAATAATTATAATGTTGCTCATATGATTGTATATCAATAATCTTAATAATAATAAGAAAAAGAACAGTTCACATGTAAACTGGGAGCTTTCTCATGAAGCTCAATGTCATGACATTACAGGATGGCTTTTAAAGTGAAAATGAGGGTGTCTAGCCTTTACAATGATTGCTTGTTCTATCCGGGAAGGGAAAAGTGATTTACCTCATATCATTGTAAGAAGATGACTCAGGTTCTTTTATGCTGTCAGACGCATTTGCAAGGAACAAGTTAAGTTTCACTCATGTTGGTGAAATAAACCAGATTTAATTTTGCTAATGTGGCTGATGGTTTTGTCTGCTCAGCAAATTCACACATCTAGTTTTATATTTGTATTTAAAGTTAACAATTCCCTGGTTTTGGTCGTTCTCTCAGAATGAAGAGTGTGACCAAAAAGCACTGCTGAGGAAGACAAGCTGAAACTCACAGTCATTGTTTCCAGTAGTTGAGTCAGGAGGATGGAGAGTCATGCGGTCCCTGTGACCAGCAGTTATGTTGTGATCATGGACGTGGTTGGTGAGATCACTTCGTGCTTTTAGGTGTCTTATCCTGATGGATAATATTAGGAGTGTAAGTGGCTGCCAAAAAGCATTTAGAACCCTAGGGGGGAAAACGATGCACTTAGGACATCAGTATGGCTATTATAAGGAAAACAGTAGCTAAGGAGGTGTTCCCATGCGGCCTTTGGTGACAGGGAAGAAAAGTCAGAGCTACTTAGGTCGCGCCCAGTGGTCACTGGATGCCCACGCGTCCCCTCTTACAGCTCCACCGGTCAAGGCGTATGACCTGGGATTGTCATTCAGTTCAGGAAAAGAGTTCTTAGAATGCAGATAGCATTTGCATTTCAGAATCAGTCATGTGCAATAGAATCCTGACCAGTTTTGTACATTGGAGTGAAATATATACATTACATATGTATTAATATGTCTATACACCCCTGCATATACTTACGCATTCATGCGCAAGCGTGGGTGTGTGTGGATGTCGGTGTTTGTGGGTGGGTTTGGGGACGTGTGTGTGTGTGGAGAGGGGGTGGGTTTGGGTGCATGGATGCCCTGCTACAAATACCCCACGGTAAGGAGAGGTCCTGACATGACACCCCCCGCCCCCCCCCACACACGTGGAAACACCTGCCAGAATTAGAGTGCAATTTTCCAACATCCCCGTCCAAGTAAAAGCCTCAGGTCAACAAGTGTCCCCGCAGGGGCCTTGGCCTTCTGCTTTCCCGCGCAGTGCGCAAGAGCCAGGGGGCGGTGCCCAGCGCTGGCCGCCCCGCCCCCGTGCGCGTGGACGTCGGTGCGCCGCGCCGCGCATTGTGTGACCCGCTGGCCTTCCGGAAGGAAGCCGGGGACCCTGGGTATGGCGGCCGTGGCGGAGCAGTGGGTTCTGGTGGAGATGGTACAGGCGCTCTACGAGGTGAGCTCGTGACCCGCGGCCACACTTGGCCCCGGGAACATGGACGGTGCGCGTGGCTGTGTTCGGAGGCCTGGGCGGGCCTGGCCCGGTCCCTCGGCGTCCGTCTCTGGAAGGACTCGCGGGCGCACACCGCCCCGGCCGCTGAGCGTGGGGAGGGACCGGCGAGAGCCAGAGCCGAGGGTCTCGGTTTGAGCTCCGGCGAGCGCGGAGTTCCCTCCGGGCCTGTCCCGGCGCGAAAGGAGCGCGTGGAAGAGGGCGCAGGGGAGAGGCTGGTCCTCAGAAACCAGAGTAGGAGCTGTTGGTGAAACGGGGTGGTGGAAACAGCGGGAGATCTGGGTCTGGAAAGGCCCTCGGGAAGTCGAGGCCTTGAAACTGTGCGGCAGGAACTAGGGGACAGAATTGCGGTACGTTGGGGTTTGTTTTTGTCAGGGCGTGAGGTGAGAAAAGAAAGCAAATGATTTAAGATTTAGGAAAATGAAATTGTGTTATTCCGCATACGTCCCACTTTCTATCCTATAAAGATAAAATAATTTTAGAGTTTTAGAGGATGAGTCTTTTTTGAAAGGTCACCTGTTTCAGGTGTGTTAGATAAAATGAGATGAAAAGCAGTTTTAGAGAATGTTCATTCATTTGACATGCCATTCACTGAGTTTTGCTGCCTTGTCCGGTAGACCTTTCTGCGTATTGTTCTCTAAGTTTTTCGATACGGTTGTCACTAACCTCACGTGGCTCTTAGGCACTTGAAATGTGTCTGGTGCAACTGAGGAACTAAAATTTTCATTTAATTTAACTTGCATGTGTATCTAAATAACTGCCTGGTGACTGGATGCTGGAGTTTCAGACAGCACAGATGTAGACGCTGGCAATAGTGAGTGAACAAACAGGGAAAAGTCCAACATCTAAATTCGTGTCAAGTGAATCTCAGTCTTCTATGGATAATTTTTTAAAAACTGGATATTGCTGCTTACTGGCAGGTGATGATGGTGTCTTCCATTAAGACTTATCAGGACTTGCTTTAAAACAATTGACAGAGCACATGGAGGCATAAATGCTGTCCAACATTAGGTTAATTATGGCAACAAATTAAATTTTTTTTAGAAATGAATAATAATTCTGCTGTGTTATTGCTCCCTTTTTGAAGACTGCATAATTGACCAAGCATGAGACTTGGGATAAGTCCTCCTGGATGTAACGTTTACAGGAAAGGAAGCTGCATTTGTGATTTGTATTAAGACACTAGACACCATCTCAGTCTTTCTTAGGATGATTTATTTGTGGAGTGAGATGTTTAACTAGTGATTTGGACAGATGTTTGCCCGCTAGAAACCAAATACAGTTGACCCTTGAACAGCACGAGGGTTAGGGGTGCCGACCCCCAGCCATCTAATCCACATACAACTTTTGACTCTCCAAACACTTAACTTCTAATAACCTACTGTTGACCAGAAGTCTTACTAATAACATAAGCAGTCAATTAACAACATATTTTGTATGTGTGTATATGTATTTTATACTGTATTCTTGAAGTAAGCTGAAGAATACTTTTTCAACTTGTTGCAAATCTCCAAAATATTTTCCAGTATACTTACTGAAAAATATCTATGTATTAGTTGACCAGTGCAGTTCAAACCCATGTTGTTCAAGGGTCACCTGTATTGAGAAAAACAAAAGGGTATTTAGAACTAGAGTCCTTATTCTTAAATGAATTCTATTCAAGGGAAAAAGTCATGTTAAAGAGAGATTTCTGTTTTTGCTCCCAATTTCCATGCACTCAGTATGTTGAATTTGAGGAGTTTTGTATACTGTACCCCATAAAGAAATGTGTCCATGGGCAACATATCTGTATAGTTTGAAGTTATCTGTACATCGACCTGGATGTTTACATAGAAATTTGTTGGCAGTTTTCTTGCTTCCACATTCTGGGTTATTTTAAACTATGGTGAATCATCATCACTTTCTGTCTGATGTTTGAATATAATTTTTCTTTCTATTCTAAATACCTCTTTGCAATGAGTTTCCAGTGACAACCTATTGAGGTTGAGCCCCTGGTAACTGACTGACTGGGTTTATTTCTGTTATTCTGACTGATACATGCAATGTTCCACGTGCACTGAATGTGTCTAGTTTCTCAAAACATAACAGCCTGGACTTTATCTGGGAAATGTGTAGTGAAAAAGCCTGTCTTGGATACTTCATTAAGGTATCTTTATGCCCGCTGTCCTGAAAGCACTGCATACTTTTGGGGAACTGAGGTAGAAATAAGACCTTCCACTCCTTTAAGTATTTATAAAGTCTTTTTTTCTTTGCCATGTCCGAAGTTAAGAGGTTTATCAAGGGAAGATGTAGTAAGACGTGCAAAACTCTAAGAATTTTGGACAGTGGTTTTTCAGATAACTCTCTTAGCTCCTCCATGGCAGATGGGATGGCAGAAGGCTTGTGAATCTGTGAAATGTTTGTTACAGTCGTTTCCCACCAGTAAAAAATTTAAATTACCCAAAGATCTGGTAGTTGATATTGTTTGATAATATTGGGAATCTGTGTCAGATTTTTTTTTTAATTAATTTTTTTCTTCTGAAGAGGTTTTAAAGCTGTGGTATTCGAGATTTTTTTCATGTGTAGAAGAAATGGCCTACTGTCAGAAATGGGAAAAGGAATGAGCAGAAATGAAAGGAAATATTAAGAAGTAATAGGTTACAGGTCATGGGAGGCAGTATATACGGGCACATTAAGTTTTAGGTGCAGGTTTGAGACGTGTATTTCCTTTCCATTTTTGTTTTTGGCTCACTTTCAGGCTCCTGCTTACCATCTTATTTTGGAAGGAATTCTAATACTTTGGATAATCAGACTTCTTTTCTCTAAAACTTACAAACTACAAGAACGATCTGATCTTACAGTCAAGGTAAGAAATTAAATATTTTATTATTCAGTGTATGATTTATAATTGCTACATCCTTCCAAATAGGATTTCTGCTGGCTGAACTCTATTTGTTAAAATATTTTCTGTAATTTTAGGAAATCAAGGGAAATGAAATGTTGGATAGGCAAAATACAAGGAAGTGAGGGATACAGTAAATACTCAGAGGGATACAGTCTCTGTACTGTTCCATGGGCAAGCAGTAGCCTTACAAAGAGATGGTAGAAGGGAAGCGTGGGAGCTGCTGAGCTTCCAGTGTCTGTGTGCGATTTCATGAGATATTTGGGAAAAGCACCACTACTTCTGAAGCCTGAACATCAGTTTTCCCTGTGTTTTCACAAAGGAATTTCAGAGCTGGAAGGAATCCTCCCACCTCCCCACCCCAGATCAAATCTTCATGTGTTCTCTGTGGTAAGGCTCCCAGCTGAAGCCTAAGCTGAACAGAGCTCAGGAGGCAGAAGTGTCTGGAGGACCTGGGTGCGCTGCCCCCTTGGAGTGAGAACGTGGGGTGAGGGGACTTATGGAAAAGAGGATTCTCCTCACTCAGGTTAGGGCCGCTGTGACTACCCCAGTGAGAGGAGAAGAGCGGTTTTGGCTGCTGCTTGGTTTCTGTCACTCGGATGGTTCCCTAGTCCAGCCCCTGAGGCTTTGCTGGAATGCGCAGGAAGACAGGAACTGTGAGGAATGTTTCCCAAGAAAAATCTTTGAAACTTTGGTTTACCAGGCAGTGCTGAGTGCGGCACGAAGATGCAGGCCTAGGCTTTCCTTTGCTTCTAGGAGCATCACAGGAGAAAGTTCTGGTGGAGTGAAAGTACTGCAGCAATGTGGAGATTGGTTCCTGGTCTCACTGACTGACCGTTGCTGGTCTGACCATAATATTAATCATGAGATGGTCAGGCACGTTCCCGAAGTTCTTAGCACAAATCTGTTCTGGAAACCTGGGTAAAGCAGACTAAAAAGTCTCATTGCATAATTTCTTGTTATCTTGAATATCAATAGATATTTGAACCTGTGTGTGGAGGTATGGCCTAAACTTGACCACAGATCCCTACCCGTCTCCTCCTTTTTCTTCTGCACACCTAGTGGGGTTGGCATGCCATAGAACACTCCCTTCTTAACATTGCACTAAGGCTGGACCACCCATGTCAGAAATCCTGCCTCTGTGTTTCTTCTATGGTATTTAGGAATGCCTCGTGAATGAATAGATGGCCATGAAACAGATTTCCAAACTTTTCATGGGTTCGATCATTCCTCATATTCTTAGAAACATTAAAAAATAACAATACACAGACTATATACCTTTTTTAAAAGAACGACTGAGTGTAATATTAGAGTAATCATCTGAAAGCAGAACTTAGTAGAGCAAGACTCAGTAATCACTGACATCTTGCCTTATAAGCTGTGGAAGGAAAAAACTGTGTTTTTGAAATTTAACTCATGCTAACAGATAAAATGCCTTTCCCAGTTTCTTAGACCCACAATCTGGAATACCAGGTTATCTAGAGTTGACTAGCATCCATGTCCACAGGAGCAAGAACACAGCATGCATGACAGGTACCCTGGGCTTGTTTGGGCTGCTGTTCTCATGTGCAGTAATTGGCAGAAACAGATGAGGAATTGATTGGTTAATTTGTTCCGTCAGCACTTTGGAGTACCTGAGCATCAGGTGAATATGCTCTTAGCCCAGCCTTGGAGTTGTCTGTCAGGAGAAAAATGCACAGCACTTAACAGAATCATGAGGTGAGAACCATTGAGAGTGGGCCTCGATGTAAGGCAAGAATTGGTGTTCATTTCGGTGCCCCACCTCACCCTGTACATCCAGACTGCATTTCAAAATTACCTTTTTTTCTTATTCAGGAAAGGATAAGACATTCAAGATACTCAAAATATTTGTAATGCATTAAGTAATAAGGAACAACGTGGCTTCTTATGAGAAATTTCCAAATTAAATCCCATTGCAGTAATTATAAGAGAGTCTTTTTCTGTATTTCAGCTACTTGTTAATCCCTGCAGATGGCTCGTGGAAGCAGTGCTTAGTAGTCTGGTTGACCCCTTCCCAGGACAGTCATGGCTTTAAGAACTGCAGGTGTGGCATTTGCAGTATCTTGGAGTAGAGGCAGGGCTCACTTACCTGCAAGTCTTACTTCGCACCTTTGTGTTGTAGACTTTCTTTGTCTTCCCAGCAGGATAGGTTTACTTCCACTTAGCACAGTGGAAAATCCTGAACATGGAAATAAAATTTTCTCATATTTTCCAGTCACCCACAGAACTGCATGGGAACAGAGCCTTTAACCTGTGATCAGAACAGGTGAGGGTTAAGTGCACAGAACTTAATGGTAATGCTGTTGCATTTCTGGACCTTTGTTTCCAGCTGTGTGCTCATTATGATGGTGCCATTACAGCAGGTGATTCAGATAATCCTGGAGCTGCTGTTCCCTGACTAGCACTGTGCTGTATTTCAACTCCTTTTCCCCTGCAGGAAAAGGAAGAATTGATTGAAGAGTGGCAACCAGAACCTCTTGTTCCTCCTGTTTCAAAAGACCATCCTGCTCTCAACTACAACATCGTTTCAGGGTAAATCAGTTTGCTGTCCGAAGGCCTTACCCTTGGTTTCCCGTAGGTAACAAAGTATGCGGTGGTTTATATAGTTTTCCTTTTTACTGGAATGAAATGTTAACCAGGTTTCCAAGATCAGAAACTAACTGCTCTAGTTCCCAGTATATAACTTCCTTTTAGGGGTGGTATGGACATGTTTTATTTTTTGGCCATTAAAGTTTGTCCCTCTTTTCTTAAAAATCTTTTGTTCACAGTATACATGCTCATGGTAGTATTTCAGAAGGTCAGATACACTTAAGATGAAAAGCGCACTCCTGCTTTCCTCCCCCCCGGCTTGCATCTGGTTTTAGATCTGTTGTAGGTCACCTTCATAACTACAGGTGGTGACAGGCTCACACTGCAGTTCTCTGACTGCCCGCAAACACCAGCCACCTCTTCCAGTAGGAGTGAGGAGGCCGACCCACACTGCCTCCTGCCTTCCATTGTCTAGTCTGCCTTTGGTTCTCCTGTTGGTTAGCTTTGCTTCGTTGTATGTGCTTTTTTTTTTCTTGTACATGAAGAAGTTGCTCATGTTTATGTCCCAAGAGATTTTTGCCTATGTTTTTTTCTAGGAGTTTTATGGTTTCATGACTTACATTCAGGTCTTTGATCCATTTCGAATTTACTTTTGTGTATGGGGTTGGACAGTGATCCAGTTTCATTCTCTTCCATGTAGGTGTCCAGTTTTGCCTGCACCATCTGTTGAAGAGACTGTCATTTCCCTGTTGTATGTCCATGGCTCATTTATCATATGTTAATTGACCATATATGTTTGCTTAATGTCTGGACTCTCTAATCTGTTCCACTGGTCTGTGGCTCTGTTCTTGTGCCAGTACTAAATTGTCTTGATTACTGTGGCTTTGTAGTAGAGCTTGAACTTGGGGAGTGAGATCCCTCCCACTTTATTCTTCCTTCTCAGGATTGCTTTGACTATTTGGGGTCTTTGGTGTTTCCATATGAAGTTTTGAACTATGCGCTCCAGTTCATTGAAGAATGCTGTTGATAATTTGATAGGGATTGCATCAAATCTGTATATTGCTTTGGGCAAGATAGCCATTCTGATCATATTAATTCTTTCTAGCCAGGAGCACGGGATGTGTTTCCATTTGTTAGTGTCCTCTTTAATTTATCTTAAGAGTGTCTTGTAGTTTTCAGGATATAGGTCTTTCACTTCCTTGGTTAGGTCTTTTTTTTTTAAATTTTATTTTGGTATCATTAATCTACAATTACATGAAGGACATTATGTTTACTAGGCTCCCCCTTTCACCAAGTCCGCCCCACATCCCCGTTCACAGTCACTGTCCATCAACATAGTAAGATACTGTAAAATCACTACTTGTCACCAAGTTCACAGTCACTGTCCTTCAACATAGTAAGATGCTGTATAATCACTACTTGTCTTCTCTGTGTTGCACAGACCTTCCCGTGCCCCCCCAACACTATACATGCTAATTGTAATGCCCCCTTTCTTTTCTTCCCGCCCTTATCCCTCCATTCCCACCCGTCCTCCCCAGTCCCTTTCCTTTTGGTAACTATTAGTCCATTCTTGGGTTCTGTGCTTCTGCTGCTGTTTTGTTCCTTCAGTTTTCTTTTGTTCTTACACTCCACATATGAGTGAGATCATTTGGTACTTGTCTTTCTCCTCCTGGCTTATTTCACTGAGCATAATACCCTCTAGCTCCATCCATGCTGTTGCAAATGGTGGGATCTCTTTTTTTCTTATGGCTGAGTAATATTCCATTGTGTATATGTACCACATCTTCATTATCCAGTCATCTACTGATGGACATTTAGGTTGCTTCCGTATCTTGGCTATTATAAATAGTGGTACGATAAACATAGGGGTGCATCTGTCTTTTTCAAACTGGAGTACTGCATTCTTAGGGTAAATTCCTGGAACTGGAATTCCTGGGTCAAATGGTATGTCTATTTTGAGCATTTTGAGGAACCTCCATACTGCTTTCCACAATGGTTGAACTAATTTACATTCCCATCAGCAGTGTAGGAGGGTTCCCCTTTCTCCACAACCTCACCAACATTTGTTGTTGTTTGTCTTTTGGAGTTAGCCATCCTTACTGGTGTGAGATGATATCTCATTGTGGTTTTAATTTGCATTTGTCTGATGACAGGTGATGTGGAGCATCTTTTCATGTGTCTGTTGGCCATCTGAATTTCTTCTTTAGAGAACTGTCTATTCAGCTCCTCTCCCCATTTTTTAATTGGATTATTTGTTTTCTGTTTGTTGAGGTATGTGAGCTCTTTATATATTTTGGATGTCAACCCTTTATCGGATCTGTCATTTTCGAATATATTCTCCCATACTGTAGGTTACCTTTTTGTTCTATTGATGGTGTCCTTTGCTGTACAGAAGCTTTTCAGCT